TACTGTGTTTTGTTATACAACCGTCTTGTCTACATAACGGGCCACTGAAATCATATTTATTGGTTTTTGTCTCATCTGCTCACTTAGGACTTCAAATTAACGTGAACATACCTGAGCTAACCAACATAAAAAAGTAATTATATATTTATTTGTTAAGTTTCTAATATTTCTGGTATCTCTTACGAAATATTGTTGATAGACAGCTAAAATTATCCGTAATTCTCCACCTAAAGCAAAGAAAAAATGGGATTTATTGATCATATTCATGAATTTTTAAAGTTTGGTTTTATAATGGCTCAGTGGTCACTAATTTTCCATAATTTCATCGATGTTTTTAGAATACTTTGTGGTGTCTGTCAAATTTTTTAGGTTAGAACAATGCGTAGCCTTACTATATTTGTATAATCTTTGATGTTGTAATGATTTTACAATCACAAATGTCTCAACTGCTATTGTTGAGCAGTAATTCCTAAATGGATGATAGTTATCTTTCGAGTCGATACTTTTAGGATGGTTTGTGTCTAGTGGATGTCAATTTTGTTAGGTTCAGTAGCGGTGTTAGGGTAGGGCGCGGTTGGGCGATCGCCCAGGGCGCCGGACAAAAGGGGCGCCGCAGGCGCCCTCCACCTCATTCTCAAAATTAAGCGGACGGAAGCCCTAAATTAAGTGGATTTTTTTTATGTTGGCAACACTTGAACGGAACGTAATCCGTTCGATCGGAGTTTATTTTACAGGGAATCCCCAATCAAAGAAAAACACATTGTCTATCTCCTTTTTGCCCGATCAAAATGTGGTTACACCTATTTTTGTTTTAAATTTCATCAAAGATCGCTACTTACAAGAACTGTATCCAAATGTATGGATAGCATTGCGAATATTACTGACTATACCTGTAACGGTTGCTAGCGGGGAGCGGAGTTTTTCAAAGCTGAAGCTGATAAAAACCTATCTTCGATCAACAATATCTCAATCTAGATTGACAAACTTAGCAACTTTGTCAATTGAAAACGAAATTGCTGAAAACATAGACTTTGATAACCTTATAAAAGAGTTTGCTGATAGAAAGGCCAGAAAAGTAAAATTTTATTAGTTTGTTTCTAATAAATGGTTATTTTTTATAATAAATAATTATTTGTTTTAATAAATGGTTATTTCATTATATGCTTTCCCTTTTTTCCTATGGGTTTGAATTGTAGTTGGAGGGCGCCGTAGAAATCTCGCCCAGGGCGCTGGTAATGGTAAAACCGGCACTGGTTAGGTTAGAGGGCTGCGCAATCACACTGTATCGTTAAGCACATTGTAAATAACTTATTCGCGTAATAAAGTCATACTTATGGGCTAGATAAGTAAAACCCTTTTAGCACTTATGCCTTATCCCTTATTACCGCTCGTTTCAAAACTATGCCGCGTATCTTATTAAGGTTACTTTAGTCACTTACATCATTGATTGCGATGAAATGTTTCTTAAGATGGCGTTTTACTGTTTTTTGTTTCCGCTGTCCATAGTAATAATTCTTCAACTTTCTATGTACTTAAATTGAAGATGAATACGATGACATATCCTTGAAACCTCTATAAAAATTATAAATTTACAATAATTTTAGAGCAAAAACTACAAAATACACGTTGCTAAATACAGACAATTACCCGTTCAAGAAACATCGTTCGCTGCTTTTGCAATAATTGCACCAATTAAAAAAACTACACCGCTGCTTTATTGTTACCATTATTGGTGCTACAAGCACAGTCAGCCTTGTTTTTAGCCTTTACAATGCAGTTAGTAGAACTTTTAGATCAAGTAGAAATTGCCTACGCTTAATTGTCTTTCGAAAAACATTTATAGCCGAGTTTATTTGATTCAAACGTAAAGGTATTTGAGGAACGGTGATTGTAAACATTGGCAATTATTTTTGTCATTAAAGGTAATGTCCGCATAGAAACACGTGAAATCTTGGACGAAACACGTGTCCGTACTGAACAAGTTTTGTGGTAATTAGGGTGTGTCTTTTTAATTTATTTAATGAATACATTAGTGAAAAATGTCCATTTTGGTTAAGTTTGAATGTATAATGATATGAAAAATGTTTTTAAATAAATTTTGTGATTGTACTTAAATAGATGTGAAATGGTATTCTACATTTTTATTTAATCTCAACAAAATAGAATGAGATCTTGCGCTCGTCTGGTAATTTATTCATGATGTTCTTGTAAAATGGTGTCGCTGAAGACGTTCATGTCTACGGACATAAATAACTAATGCAATTAAGTAATTAACTTTCGCAGCAATTCTTTAACAAAATTTAGCAGTGTTTGAAAGGGAAAGTGTGGTTTTTAGTTTCCAAAGTAATAAATATTTATAAAAAAATTACTCATTCCATGTAGTTATTAGGAGGAGATGCATATAATTGAATGATTAAGAAGGAAATTTATTCAAATGTAAACAATCGCCATGTTAGGCTGTGACGTCAATGAAGAAATAAAGTATAGATAACATTGACTACGAAACACGGAGGACCTTCGTGGAGGTTGAGATTGTATTTTCACCATTCGTCTATGAAAATTTGTTGATGTGTTTGTTGAAATTGCATAAAGTGAAATTATGCCACTTTAGATTCATCATCATAAGATCGTCAGTCTTAAGACTGGTTGAACACTTCCACTTTATCCTATCCTCAGCTAATCTTCACATTTCCCCAAAAGTAGAATATCCTTAAACTATTTGTGAACAATAATCTAATCCAGGTCTACCTCTACTCCTCTTAATTCCTGTTTCTACTTCTAATATGTCTCTAACTACTACTTCATTCTTCCATAACGCCCTCTGTTCTCCAATTTTTCTAATACCTTCTTATATCTAACCTTCTCCATCCAGGTATCCTCATCATTCGCCTATAACACCACATTTCGAATGCTTCTAACTTTTCCTTTTCCGTCGCGCCCACTGTCCCTGTTTCGCACCCGTACAGCGCCGCGCTCTAAACATAAACCTATAATAATCTGTTTCGAATTTCTAAGGTAATTGTTCGCGAGCATAGAAGTGACTTCCTTTTATTGAAAGCGATCGACCCCGGGCTATCCTCTGCTTTATATCCCTATTACTCCTTCCATCCTGACTTATCTAACTTCCTGACCGAAAATCAGTCACTTCTTCTAATTTCCAAAGCTTTTAATCTTCTCTTTTCCGTCCATATTTGGCACCGATACATTTAACAATCTTTTCCGAATTTCTTAATTATGGATTGACGAACATAGAAGTGACTTCGTTCTGTTTAAGACAACTCGGCTCTGTGCTATCCTTTGTTTTTATATTTCTACTGCTTCTTCCTTCCTGAGTTATCCGGTTAACCTAAATAAACCATTATGGGACTCACCCTAATGATCACAAAACTTTTCACTATGCGGAGACGTTGTTTTGTCTACTTCTAATTAGTGAACATTATCAACACGTTGATAATCCACCTTTGAAGTGAACCATTGCTCTGTATCTATGGAAATACAAACGCTATTAATATAGTGGATTTTAATAGGTGCAAATAAAATTCTTTCTTCTGTTCATTTAATAAACTCATGTAGTACATTGACATATTAAGCAAAGTAGTAACCCCTGAAACGTAACAAGTTCTAACAACTCCTTTTTGATGACGATAGTACATATTTTCACAATAGTGACCTTGTATCAAGTAGGCATTCCAATAAATATATTATTCCTATTGGAAACCCATCAACTTTCTCTTGTTGCAATAGAAACTAATATTGTGAATTTAATTTTTTGTTTAGTATCAAATAGCTCCGTTGGATTTATAATGTATCTGTTTAACGAACTCTTATAGTACTTCATATTTGTGTAAATATACCACATTATTCTTGTTAAACTTATTGAAATTGTAATTTGTTGTCCTATTGGTTTTTTAAATTTTAATTATATTTTGTGTGAAACAATTGCAGGGTTGTGGCGTTTAAAGGCGCTTGGGTTATGGTGTTGTAGGGTTCAAAACCCTTGGGTATGAGGTTATGAGGTTTTTAATATAATTGTAAGGTTTGAAACGTTTGACTTATGGGACTAAGATGTTTTAAATGCTCGTATACCATAATAGGGCTTAAAGCGTCTTTAATCCTGTTGTGTTATATGATTCCCATAAGTACTCCATATCCATGTTGGAGGTACCTATTTGGAGGATTTAGGAAATGCTTCGCTATCCGATACAGTAAAATGTAAAAACCGAATATTTAGTATGTTTGTAAAATCTTAATCAATGTGCATACATAGAATATCTTTTCTACATCATGGAATATATTTATATAATTTAAAGACTAAATTATTAGTGGAAAGTGAAGGGTCTCCATTTAAAATTAGACACTGACTATATGAAATCCTATGACATTGTTAGTTACTTAATAGTGGATTAATATGCAATATTAACTTGAAATCATTTTTTCGGGTTCGATTCCCGGCGGGGGTATGACAACAGCAATAATTTTTCCCTCATTAATTTGAGGTAGTTTGTAGTGGGTAAATAAAAAATGATTTCAAATTAATATTAGACACTGACTGTTGTCTGTTTCTTATAACTGATGGTAAAGGAACCAAATTTTTGCATAAGTAATCATCGAATGTGATCATTGTTATAACAATTTGGAATGTCAAATGAAATACCCCCAGACGTTGAACATTTTTGATAGTTAAGAAAATTACCAGCCTGTTACATAATTTTTGGAATAAACATATCACGTTCGAAAACAGTAGTTATGACAAAATAGTTATGAAACAGTATTTTATAACTATCAAAAGAATATGTAGGCACATTGTTTACGACACCCGACATACGGACATACGTACGCGGACGACAGGCCAAAAATGAGGTAAAGAAACTTCTTTCCTCCAGTATCTAGCAATTTGTATGTCCGACACGTACGAAAATCCATTCTTCGCCTTGGCAACTTTCTCGTCGTCGACTTGTAACCACCAGCAAATGCTTTCTGGAAGTTGTACCCAAGTGCGTGTGCCGTAGACAAACGTCCGTCACCGTCTGTTGTTCTTACTTCTTTGATTAGTAGCCAAGCAAAGAAAGGTAAAGTGGTCAAAGTAGTAGTTAGTTATATGTAGGCCTTCGACAAAACGAGACGACGTCATCCTTAGACCGAGAGAGCAACAACAACTTTCGAATACAAGACTCGGTGACTTATTATTATAAATGAAAAGAGACCGACTAACGTCGTCGGCATCGGTTGAATAGGAAAGGAAAATGTACTAGAAGAGTGGTGCCTTTTTGGGGGGATATCGATGCTGAACCAATTTTGCTCCAAATGAGTATCAAAGCCGCAGTTCTTCGACGACGTTGCGGACAATTTGAATCTCGCGCTTAAGTGCGAAAACAATTACTGAAATCGCGGTGTGCATCAAGTGTGCGACTTGCAACGCGCGCAACTTTGAATTACTGACAGTGCATCAGGATTACGATCGCAGCTGGAAATTTTAAAGGATTACGACAATGGTGAGTTAATTTTCTTTTTTTTTAATTTTTGAGTTCTTGAATATCTAACAATAACATTTTGATGGAATAACAAAATGAAAAAATTCTCATATAAAATATTTCTTTAATGAATTCTGATTCGCCATGATGATAAAGTTTAAGTATCTTTAAATAAAAATTTGAATGCCATTATGAGTTTCTAAATTTTTTTTCGAAAATCTCAAAGGTTTTATCTGTAATAATGGATAATTCAAATTATTGTCATCTATAGATACGTAAAGGTAATTAAAAATTGAAATATATATTTAATGGTTTTTCTTTCACCAATATGTGCTTTATGCATAGCGACCTTTGTTTCAATAATTATTTTGTCTTTCTAAAAACTATTTCAAAACAAAGTTTTACTGAGAATAAATTTTTGATACGAAATATGGTTTTAAATATCACAAAAACCTCATAAACTTTCTAATGATTTTTTTACGACTACATAAATGTATGACATTCTCGAATGAAACTCAAATACAGATGATTTCTAAATTTTTTGATATTTGTGCCATTTTATAGATTAAATAGTTACAGTATCTATTTTTAGACTGAAACAAATTAGACATTATAAAAACAAACAACTGAACTTTACAGAATATTTCTCAAAAACTATTATGAACGTTATACTTTCGATGATCTAGATTCAATAATTGTTATTATTGAGGATATATCGTAAGTAATATACTTAAGTGAAAATTTACTTCATAAAATCAATTTTATTGACCTGCATCTTTTTATCAGTTAAACCCTTAGCATATCTGTCCAATTTTTATTATTTGACTATATTTTGGGTTAACAAATTTCAATGTAAAATAATCATGGATAGAAAATAGCAAACGGATAATAGGGCAGATAATGAAGGACTTATATTACCGCTCGTGTAGATATAAATCAATCTCAGACCACAACCAACAGGCCCTATATCAATATGCAGAGGTATTTGAATCTAATTGCGTTCGATGTCATTGATAATTCAAATTTTAAAATTTAATTAGGGTTTCAAGGGCTAATGTCCTTTAGATAAAGTATATTTTTAAGTTTAACTTTAGGGCTTGGAGCTCTTTTTGCTTCTTCGCCCCGCTCTGCTTTCAATCGATCGAGAAAAATATGTACATGAAACAATACGTTTAAATATTATTTGAATTTTGTAGATAATTTATAGATAATATAATTATAAAGTTTGTTGTTATTATTTCGTTTGATTATCCATCTACGTAAATAATTACTCCTAACAGATTACTAAGTGGGCAATTAAAACGAAACAATTATTGTTTTTTACATCAATAATAATAGGTCCTGTTGTCATAAAACAACTTTAAATAAGTACGTTTATTTGTAATAGATAGATATTAATTGGTGGACGTTGTACACCCTTAGGTCAAATAATTTCACAATAATAATAAACTAGTAGGTGTCTAAATTACAAAAATAAAACATTTTAGTGTTGCTGGCAGACATATTACTACTCTTAATAATTAGGTGCTAAAAAGCTTTACATGGAGCTTTAATGACTGTTTAAAATGCCCAACATGTGTATTATATCTAGCTTTAATAACTACCACGTCATTAAAAACTCGTCAAAGTTTTACGTATTATTTTAGAGTTATTGAAGATATATAGGGATATAAACTCCTCAAAAGGACTTTAGTAGTTTTTTGCCAAAAGGCAACTAAAAATAAAAATAAAGAATGAGGTTTATATTTTCTACCTTTACATATATTTCATCATAAAACTAATTAACACTTTAAAAACTTTAAAATTTTCTGGTTATTATTAATTAGATAGGTGTGTTGTAATTGCCATTTTCCTTAATTGGATTTTGATCTTGAGTTCTGTACTGATAAACGTAAACCGCGGTATTGTCATATGTCTGTTTGTCCTGTTGAAATCTACATTTTGGAAGAACCTATTGATACAAGGTAATTAGCGCTAAACGATTATTAAATTTAAAGAACTAATCGATTGTTTCGATTATTGATTTATCGAAGTTAAAGTCACCATTGTCGTAATCCTTTAAAATTTCCAGCCGCGATCGTTTTACTTTTCTATTCAATCAATGCCGTCGATATGAGCCTGTCCCACTTCTTTTACAATAAAAATCGATTATTTTTACAAATTGAATACAGTTAATCTATAATCGCTTTGATCTCTTTTTTTGTTTTGCTTCTTTTGTTTATAATATTATCGAACTAACGCAAAGTAGATAGCTAAATGTTGATATACAGTGTCTTTCTAAAACAAGTGGCAAGCTTGCACGAGGTGATAGAGCACTGTAAAACAAACAAATTAAGTAAACGTTTTGTGGTTTGAAGGACCACCGTTTTCTAAAAAAACGTATTTGAAAGTACAGTCAAGTGTCAGTGGTGTTTACATTCTCCGTCGATGTAGCTGCTTAGTTGTTATCACAATTTCTCTGTAAGTTGGCAATTCACGACCAGGGCCGGCGTCAGATTGCAACTACTTCTAGTTGTCTTAGAAAATTTTCTGTCCCTTAATAACGCACCTTTGCTACCATCATGTGATTCCCTCTTGCATTTGGTTAACCCCTACCAGAACTTGCTAGTAATTTAAGAAACACCCTGTAAAATCAAATCAACAAGGAAAAGCTGCAACAACCAACTGAACAGAGTTTTGTGTAGTACAGTAGGCTTACCATATAATTAATACGATACGATTCATTTGTTTGCGACAATTTGCAACAAAGTAGCAGGGCCCGTAATCGGTTATAAATTTAATTTAGTAATAATCATAACTCGACAATGGTTAGTCCCTAAATGGGTGTTATTTATTCCGATTGTCCGAGCTCATTTCATTAAAGCATTTCGGTTTTGCTAAACTTAAGGTCAACCACACGATTACAGAAATTTATTGCGTGGCACCGTGTCTTAACCACACCCACACGCATTCTCCAGAAAATATTCAATTTCGCCACAACAGCACCCTTTCGGTAAATTATTGTTTGGTTGGAGCTCTGGAGCTCACAAGAACAAAATCCGTACCTAAAGCTTTTTATTTATGTTACATCTTTCAGTCTCCAGCAGGCAAACGATGCTAATCAAAATTTTTTTTGTTCCCTTTGTTGCCGTACCTACATTACGCTTGTTAAAAATAACGAGCTGGTATAATATATTTTTTAAATAAAATTTTAAATAAGCGATATTCTTCGTTTTTTTTTATATTCAATAACAGAATAACAGAAAACTGATAAGTCCCGTTCAAAAAATCATTTAAATATTAAATCAATAAAATTTTAATTCTTGGTCGGCGGATTTTCAACGATATAGCTGAGTTGAAACCGTTGAGTAGAGCTTATAATTTTTGTAAACAATAAAATCTGCAGTATAATCTTAATTTTAACAATTTTCGTTAGGTAAATTTTTGTTTATTGCTGGTGTTTGTTTTTTCTTTTCCTCTGGTAAAATTGCCTGGTCCCACTAGCGTCATTGTCCGGTACCCAGCCGAATCCTGAAAAAGTGCCAGATCCAAATCGGGTATCTGATCCAAATCGGATACTCAACTTATTTCTATTGATAAGAAAAGTAATTTTAGGTTCAGTTATTAAACAAATAATTCAAAAACGAGAAATTGTTTTAGTATCTTTCGCAGTTATTTAGAAAAGTTTTTGTCAACTGATGATGCGGTGGAAGTGAAAGAAGAAGAGATACTCCGAAAACTTTCAAAGCAAAATGAAAATGCTAGACTATTTCGTACCAACAAATCTTGCCCATTTCTTATTGACTTCCATAGAGTCCTCTGTTCTCCTACTCTTTCTAATATCTCTTCATTTCAAATCTTCTCTATCCCCGGTATCACCATTCGCCAGTAACACCACATTTCGAACGCTTATAGCCTTTTCTTTTCCACAGCGCCTACCGTCCATGTTTCGCACCTGTACAGCGCCGCATTCCGAACATACACCTTTACCAATCTTTTTCACATTTCTTATTTAATCGTTCGCAAGCATAGAAGTCTCGACTCGACCCTGCGCTATTCTCTGCTTTATACTTTATATCCCTACTACTCCTTCCGTCCTGATTTATCTGACTTCCTAGGTACCGAAAATCAACCACATTTTTTAATTTTTCGTCTCCTATCTTTATATTCGCTCTCTCCCTACTTTTTCTACCCTTACCTGCCAGTATTTTTGTGTTACTTTTATTTGTTTTCATACAATACTGTTTTGTCAATACCGCTTCCATTATATTTAAAGCTATCTGTAACTCATTCTTGCTAGATGCTAAAACTTCTATATCATCTGCAGTCTAAGCATACTAATCATTTGCCCCTTTTGCTGGACTCATAAAACGAGCATTAAAGACGATATAAAAAATCATCTTCTTATTAAAAAGTATGCAGATTATGATTATTTATTAGTATCCACAACTATTATAAATTACTTAAAATATTGGAGAGATACTTCCTTTGGACCTTGAGATATTTTATCTTCCTGTTACCGTGAGCCTTTATCTCTGCAGACACCCTGTATGTAAAGACAAAGCTAACAGATATTCCATTTTTGGTCGAGATCTTCATTTGGATAAAAATCGTTATGAGCGAAAAGATCTCTCGAGATACGTCGGTCGCTGAATATGTGAGTCGTAAAGGCCATTGCGAGATGAACCGGTCACATTCACATGTGGTGCCAAGTCAAAGACCTTGCAATATTCGTTGCATTATTTTGTTTTCCGTGACAAACAAGTCAAAGACTTCGTCCTTTCGCTATTATTTTACCTTCAACCCCGATCATTACTTTCATTTTCGACCGAATCGCGCAGATTTGTCATGTTGCGAGAATAGACGACAAGATCCAATAAGAATCGTGTTTTAACCGATAACGATAACGCAATGTGTGACCCAATTTTGCACATGGCTTGGGTAATTTATTACCTGCCACGTTAGAAATAAGTTCACTTTTGAAACAGTTGACATGGTATCTGTACTCAGCCAACGATATTATTAATGCAACAAAAAATTAC